CTTTCTGCCCCTGTCAAGGCTAATTTACATTTCTCACTTAGTAGAAGTGGAATATTTTCATTAGATCGAGCAGATGCTGTTATTGAAATAACTGAATGGGTCGAAGTTCCACTAAAGAATCTGACAGTGGACAACTCGACCTCTGCTTCTGTGAACACATCAACTGAAAGTGGCCCCACTAGTACAGAGGAAAGCGATGAAAAGTTGAATACAGACACTGTTAATAGTAACACCTCTGATCCTGGTACAAATGATTCTAGCACCATAAGTCCCGTTACAGAGAAGAAGCTGAAGAAACGGACTTTCCGAGTTCCACTTAAGGTCTTCTAAACTTAACCATGTGCAGGGGAATCTATTTTTCATCCCCTTCTTTATCGATTGCCATTAGGTGCCAGGGAAAAATGTTATTTTAGAAATATCGTAGTGTTATGATGTTTTTAACCAGTCTTATCCTTGAGATGTCTTTGTTCATGTAGATTGATGAGAAGATTACTGGGCCAGGAGCACCTCTTTCAAAAGAATCTTTTAGTGAAGCTAAAAGAAAATTGGAAGCACTGGACAAAAAAGACGAAGAAAGAAGAAGAACGGCTGAATTGAAGAATAGCTTGGAAGGATACATATATGATACAAGAGACAAGGTTCGAGGGCTTATATCACTAACTCTTGCCCATGCTTGTGATTATGTAGACACCTGATCCGGTCAACTCTGGAAACTAGAATGCCTTATGTGTATTCTTGATTTTCCTATTTTTTGTTCCAATTGCATACACTTGTTCGATTTGTTAATATGTGTTTTCCTCTAGCTTAGAGTAACTGCTTTGCAGATAGACAAATCTTTCCTGCAACAGTTTTTAAGCACATACCCATGCTTCAAGATTCTCCTGAAATATCCTTTTGTTAAACTGATGCTTTTTAGCCCTCAGATGAAACATATACACAGATTCAGAACTTACTCTGTTGCTCTGGTGATATTGTTTCCTAGATGTTGTAACCTTGTGGATCGCTCTTAACTTCTTGGCCTCTTTTTCTTCTTGTAATGCACTTTATATCATTTAGCTTCCAGTGGCATCGCTGTTTTGCACCAGCATTTTTATTCGCTGATTGATCACATGGAACTGATTAATAGATCACTTTATCTTTCTTTTTTTAATGTTGAATGCGCTCATGTACCAGCTTGAATCTGGAGATTTTGTGAAAATATCAACCAGTCAAGAGTGCCAGTCCTTTATTGAGAAACTTGATGAGGTTTGCCTATTTCCTTTTTTCCATGGTTTGTCATATGTGTTTATCGTAAATATACTAAATGGAGTTTTTCAGGTACAAGAATGGTTGTACACAGATGGTGAAGATGCTTCTGCCACCCAGTTTCAAGAGCATTTAGATAAATTGAAAGCTATTGGGGATCCCATATTTTTCAGGTCTGCTCCTAGTATCAACTGCACTCAAAGGCTAAAGTGTAGTTACTTTTTGTACAAGGTTAGGTAGTTATGTTGAATGTAATTTTTTGTGCAGACATAAAGAACTTACTGCACGCCCTGCTGCATCTGATCATGCTCGCAAATACCTTAATGAAGTGCAACAGGTAGGAAGTTTAATTTCTTGTTCCAGTAACACTCTTCTGCTCTGTTTGGTCAAATTCTTTGCATCATGAAGTGCAGAATGTAAGTTTGAAAGAGTATCTTATTTGTGTTATGGTGGTATCTATAGATAGGTGGACAGTAAATAGGACTCCCTCCCTGTCAATTTGTTTGTCTTGCTTTAGATCTGTTTCAAAAAGAATGCCTTTCTTTATTTAGTCACTCTTTACACCCAATATCATACATGGCATATTTAAGACCACAAAATCAAAGGGCATTTTGGTACATTACACATATTTAGTTTAAGACCACAAGATTCAAAGTTCTTTTTTTCCCTCAAACTCCGTGCCGAGTCAAACTAAGTCAAGCAAACTGAAACAGAGGGAGTATCTGTTTGTTTGTTTTCTGAAGGAAATGGCAAAATTAGTATGTTTAAGAAAAATTACTAGTTAGCACCAGCACATCAAACTGTAAGTTGGCACTGAAGTTCTTCAAGCGGGGATGTGGGAAAATAAGCTGCATGCTTTGAGGCAATGTTTGAGGTGATAATTGCCATGGGTATTTTCTAGATCTGAAGTGCAGAAGACGTATGGATGAAATTGATATTAACCTGCATCTGTTTTCAATGATTTCACATTTGGTACTATAACTGTCATTTTGGCATTAGTAGAAGATTCAGTTACATTGTTGATGTTGAACTTATTAACCGGCTTCCTTTGCAATAATCCTTCTGTGATTTTCAAAGCTGTTAGCCAGCTAGGAAAGTTTTGTATCCTTTATTGCCTTTGACCCTTGCAGTTTACCTTTTATTTCTTTCTTGGATACCTTCAGATTGTGCGTGGATGGGAAACCAACAAATCATGGCTTCCTAAGGGAAAAATAGATGAGGTACTCTTTTCAGCTGTTGTGCATATTTCTATTTTGATACAATAGAAGCTAAGATATCTCTTCTTTATGTTCGTACTGGGAAGTTTAAAAGGGGTCATATTTGCAGGTTCTAAATGAAGCTGAGAAAGTGAAGAAATGGTTAAATCAGAAGGAGGCTGAACAGAAAGAGTAAGTTCTTTTTCCTTCTCATTTCTCTTACCTTTTTCCTATTTTCATATGGTCATTTGTGTGTTCACTCTCCATGTTATTGCCTCTCCCCTTTTTCTTTTCGTACTTACTCTGTTTGTATCCGCTACCGCTTTTAATTTAACCAGTGAACATAGCAAGTTGTTTTCCTTTTGGAACATCTTGTTCATTAAACTATTGAGCCATTGAACTCCCGAAAGTGATACTGACTGATATACCGTCTGTAAAGAATAAATCTAGTGGATTTGTGTGTGTGTTGAAGCATATACACTTTGATTTGAACATTTGCAATTTGTATATACATGTGTTTGTGTGTTCTTATTTGGTTCTGTATTTCGTTCAACCGAATTAGGAGGGAGAAAGGTGGAACTTGGTAGTTTTTTCATTTAATTGAATAGGGCAAATGTTAAATATCCCCTTTCTCACACTCTGTTTTAACACCTTTTCTTTTCCTACAGCACTCCTGGATCTGATATGCCTGCATTTACTTCTGAAGAAGTATATGTAAAGGTTTTTGATCTTCAAGACAAGGTGCGTGATGTAAATCTTCGTTAATTTGGTCTAGTGATAGAGTTGAACAAGAAATTGGTAGTCAACTCATTCCAGGCATGAAGCTTTATGTTTCAGTGCTTGATCCTCTCTCTTTTTCATGGATTAGGTTAACAAGGTAAATAAAATACCAAAGCCAAAGCCTAAGGTTGAGAAGCCTTTGAAAAATGAAACTGAAAACAGCAAGGAGAAAGCAGACACTACCAAATCCTCTTCTGAGGAGGGTACCTCCCAGAAAGAACAAACAGCTGCAGAGGCAGAGAAGGCATCCGCAGATGAAAAGTCGGATCATGATGAGTTATGATTATTATCCTACAACGACACATCAAAGGCTAAATTATATGCAAATTAATTGTAGAGTATATACTGAGTGAGTGAACCCATCTTTCTCCATAGGATGCTTTTTCTTGCCATGCTTTGGAAGTCCTCACTCTCCGGGCAGTGTCGGGTTCAAATAGTACATGCTAAGGGATCTTACACTTGATCAGCATTCTCTGTATCACAATATTTAAGTAGAACATTGGGAACATATTCATGCGCCATTTTTTGGCAGCAGAATAGAATTTTGTTAGCTCCTCCTCCTTTGAATACCTTTTGCCACCCTCCTGCCCTTGAAATTACATATTTCTAATTTCTGAGAATCTATACAGGCAACAATGAACGTTCTTTGTTTCTGGGCTTCCCTTTCGTTTCCCCTTTTACGACAGAGAATTCAACGTTGGATATGCTGGGCTTACGAGCTTTGCACTAGAATTTAACTGCTCTCATTCAAAGTCTTAAAAATGTCGTTGGTGAAGTATCTCATTCCACAAAATTGGAAGAAATATCTCGTGTTTAAGAGATGAGAATTGGAAGGCGTAAGGGATACGTACTTTTTCTTAGCATGTGTGTAGATGATCGACAATCATGTTCTTATATTTCTTTATTGTTCCATTCTAATCCACTGAAGAACCAATTAGATGTAGATGTAGTAGTACTTGCAATTGAAAAAGTAGCCCCGAAAAATGTTCAAGAGAGGAAGTCTAGGGCTGGTTCCGGAAAGGGATCAAAGAGAATGTAGTTCCTTTAAGGCTTATACATAATTAGTTAGAAGCATCTCTTTCTACTGATATTGACTTGATGTGGTGCTCTCTTCTCTCACCTGTAAACCATAGGAAGCATCCGCAACAGACATCTTAAAAAAAACTGGTTGGAGTTTGGGTAGTAACAACCAGATACTTTTGGCCTTTGGGCCATTTTTATGTAGAAATGAAGTAGTCTACATTATCTGCAAACTAGTTGAGTTGGTCGTATATACGCGAAACTATCCCACTCTTTTTTTTTTGAGATCTAAGTTAAGAAAATAGCGTTTGATTATATATTGGACTGGTTTTTTAAATTTTGAAGATGAGTTTCATGTTCAAATCAATAGTTTTAATCATTTTTTCAAGTGAAATTTTTTTCCACTCACAATATTAATTTTTCTCAAGTTAAATTCATGTTCAAACATAACTTTAATTTTCTAATATATATTTTTTTTTTATAAAAACTTAATTTTAAATATTATGTTTTGTTAAATATTATATTCTTATATCCAAAAGTTCGCTTCATTTATGTGGCTTGATTTATGATTTTCAGTCGAGATTTTTTCTTTTGGAGTGAAAAACGACTGATTCAATGATATCAGAAATTGAGATATAAATATTAATCGTTTGATATTAAGGTTAAATTATTGTGAATATAAATTAAGATGGATCAAGAAGATATAAAATGAAGAAACACAATTTGATTAGTCATAGAATTTAAAAACAAAACAAAAAATGGCATAGAATCAACTGTGAATATATTCATTTCCCAAGCAGCAATTTTGTTGTCACTTTATGTCTCATGTATACACTTTGTTATCCAATGTTGCAATACATACACTTGGGAATTAAAATGCCTATTGATGAACAAGAATTATTTGTTGGTATACATCTAGCAAACTGTAATAGCTATAAATAACAAACTGAGATTTGATATCTGATATTGACAAGGCGTTGTGAGAATTGGCAAAAAAACCAATCCTGTTTTCCTCGACGACGCATTAAGGTTCTCTGGTTAGCAAAACTGCAATCACTTTAGTTGTAACCATTTCTGTGTACCTTTTGCCATCTCCATGCTATTGCTAAACTCTCCTCCAGTGAATATCTGGCAATCCAGTTCAGTTCACGTCTAATTTTAGAAGGATCACTGTAGACTTCAGCGTAGTCTCCTGGACGTCTATTAAGGTAATCAATCTTTATGTCAACTCCTGTTGCCTTTTTACAAGCTTCCACAAATTGTTTCACTGAACTACCTGTAATATATTTGATCATCAAAATCATTTCTCGCCTAGTGCTATACAACAAAACATAGTTTATGAGTAGTAGAAAGTAACAATCCATGCACCTTTTCCAGTCCCGACATTGTAGATGCCAACTTTGCTAGGTTTAGCATGCTCGAGAGCTTTAACATGAGCGTCAATTAGGTCAGTCACATCGATATAGTCTCTTACACAAGTGCCATCGGGTGTGGTGTAATCTACTCCTCTTATCTGCAGTCACCATATAAAGATTTTAGTTTGACGTTCCGTTTAGACATAAACAATAAAGCTGCCTGTTTTTGAAATGCAACATTCAATATAATTATTAAAGCTTACCTTCAATCCTGGAATTATGCCCCTGGCTGCATCAAAACAAGCACCAGATATCCGACCTTGCTCACGTAATTCTGGGGGCGGAGCTTCTCCTAACCTTCCTTCAGGATCCGAGCCAATCACATTGAAGTACCTGAATAGTATATGGTAGAACATCAGATATATACTAGCATTGAGAAATGTACATGTACAAAGAGATGAAATAGACTTAGGCACAGAAAGCTCTCAAGGTTACTTATTACATGAATTACTTAGCATTATTATGAAAGGTGCTCGGACATTGGTGAACCGAAACCATTCCTAAAGGCATGCACTTCATTGCTAAGGATCAGCTGACGAAAGAATAAAGCACAAACCTTAAAATCATGACAGCCATATCTGAAGTCTTTGAGAAGTCCAGTATGATATCTTCAGCCATTTTCTTTGCTTTTCCATATGGATTTATTGGGGACTGTTTGTATTCACAGTTAAACAGTAGAATCAATAACTAAAATAAACAAAATTCCAAACATCGGTACATGTAAAAATGTCTAATGGAACAAACTCTTGTTCCACTACGACGTAGACTACCAATGAAACATCAATATAACTATGAAGTTCATAACAAAGTAAATAATAGTGTTACTGACTTGTGGAGTCACTTCCGTAATAGGCATTTTCTCAGGCTCTCCATATGTTGCACAGGTACTTGAATAGATTAGTGTCTTTACACCGTGTGCTGCCATTGCCTTAACTAGAAGCAGAGTATTTGATGTGATGTTATGATAATACCTGCAAAGTATTCAAAGAGTATTACAAGACAGACAAAAAGCGGAAAAAAAACTGCAGTCTCTTACATAGGAATAAGTTGGGGAAAAAAGTTTATTTATGACTAGTTGTAAGCTAGGATCAACAATTTTGTTTTAAATCATAAAGTTATCATTCTCAGGTAGCTAGAAGATGCATCGAACTGAAAGACCAATCAACAGAGTTTGAGGTTCATAATTCGAGAAGTACCTAAGTGGTTCTTGAGTACTTTCACCAACATATGCAACAGCTGCAAAATGCATCACAGCATCAAATGCATTTTGTGAAAAGATCTTGTTAACCTGAGGCGTCTGTTAAGGATCAAAAGTCCTGGCGATAATTGAAGCAATATGAAAAACGCTACAGAGAGACTAGAAGTGGAGATAAGTTGTGAAGCTAAAACACGAAAGAAGAAATCCGGGATACAGCAGCAGCATCTCCCAAATCAGCATAAATAAACTGAAGTCGCCCTGGTTCAGGGAAAAGTTCCTGGAGAACTTTTACCGAGCCCATATTTCCACGGGAAAGATTGTCCTATCAGAAAAAGAAAGAAAAAAACCATGGTTAAAACATACATCCAAAACTTGATTCTCCTGAACGGAGTCCGAAATGAAAAAAAGGAGGGCATACCACTATAGTTACACGATACGAATCCTTTAGGAGACGAAGGGAAGCATGAGAACCAATGTAGCCAGCACCTCCAGTCACTAACACATGAGTTACACCTGGTTCGTGTTGGGAGAACTGAAAATAACAAATTTGGATTGCCTATTACCACCAGATTCTTAAAACATATATTGTAAGTTTGGACTGTAAAATAGTTGTTCATAGTGAAGTAAATACTGTAAGACATGATCTAATTATCACCTTGACGGAGGTACTAAAACTCGATGAATTTCTGAATATAAACAAACAAATTGCAGCAATGCCAGCAAGCAAGAGCAGTCTCCTAGAAGTGCTGCTCCGTCTCTTCAACTCCACAAAATCCATCTCTGAAAATTAATATGCAAGTATCTTTAGTTATTGATGTTTTAATTCATTTTTCCCAATGTACATTTAAGTTCTTCAGCATTTCACCGCGTGACAATTCAAAGATACTCAGAAATTCTAGCTGATCGACACTTAATTAAGACTCTTATAATAGCATTATCGTGCTGCTACCGGATCTAATACTAAAAAATTTTAGTCCATAAATTCCTTCCTGAGAATCCATAAGCTATTGAACGCCACAGAATTCCAGCCATCTAAACATCCCATACATAATCCTAACTACTAAAAAATGATCATCAACCTCATGAACAGGATTTACATAAATAAAGTATTCAGTTGCACCGGAAGGGCATACCTCAAGGGGCACCAATCTCATCTATCTGCGCGAAACCGACCTATGGATAGAAAGAAAGATGCAAGAAAGGAAAAGTCAATAGGTGATGAGCTAAGAGGGGCAAGGCGGTTCATTCAAACCCTCTTCTCTAGAAAATTACACCAGTCAAAATTATATTTTATGTATATACAGTAGACATTGAATCCCTTGGCTTTTCTTCTATATATTCTGACACCATGTACTGAAAATCTTGACTCCGCCACAAAAAGTCAACATACTTTTATTGCCAAATTAGGATCAACTATGATACAATTAAAGTTAGTATTTGTTTTCCTTTTCCAAAAGGGAGATATCCAATCAACAATAACAACAACATATCCAATAAAATCCCACTACGTAGACCTTACCACTACCTCGTGGAGGTAGAGAGGTTGTTTCCGAAAGACCCTCGACTCAACAGAGATATATAATCCAAATATTCAATCCAAGCACAGTACTTCATAAAAGCACCTAACTCCAACCTAAAAAACCATCATATATTATATCTAAAAATACAAAAGAGTTTGCACTCTGGAAAAGATCATGATGCAGAACATGAACATAACATAAAAATACAACCTTTTAAATTCATCAGAAATTGATTTGAACAACACAAAACAATGCACATATTTCCATAACAAAGAAACAAAGCTTTTACCAACAGATTAATTAAATAAAATCCAGAAACATCAAAAAAAAAAAAAAAAACACAATACTTCTGCAATAAGAACCAAGAATTCACCAAACAAGTTAAATTAAAATTAAAAAATCATCACCAAAAATTTGTAACCATGTATAAATCACATGCAAAATCTAATCAAGATAATCAACACAAAAAAAGAAGAAATAAAATTAAGGTAATTTACCTGAAAGCAAAGAGGAAAAGGAAGAGAATTTGTCCTTGAGCCAAAACTGCTGCAATGTTATGTTATATGTAATTAAAATTATTATTAATGTTATAAAAGCAAAGGAAAGAAATTTAGTGCATATAAAGACAAAGAAGAAGAAGTCAAATAAATTTAAATTTCGATAATCTGAAAATATATTGCAGTGGAAGAAAAGTGGACCATGTTCTTCACACTAATTAAGCAGCCACAAAACTATTTAATAAATAATTAAATTGTGTTACACTTCACCTAATTAAAACTGCCATTAGTCATTTTTTACCATTAATTGATGATTCTCCTTTTTCTTCTGCTAATAACTCTGTGAAAATTGTCCTGGTCTATAGGGGACTCTATCTATGTGTGAGAGAGGGAAAATGTCATTTTCTTATTTGTTGGACTTTTCCTTGTATACATTTTATCATTATCATCTCATGGTATCCTTTTAATAATAGGATTCTATGCTTACCAATCAAAATAATAATCTATAAATATTTTTTTATGTATATATAGGGGTTGTTTTATGTTTGATAGTTGATTTGCGTGTGAGTTATGTAGGTATTAGATTTTACATATGTAATAACATATTTGCTAGTTAGTTAGGAAACAAATTATTCAGGTATAATATTAATGCAATATTTAGTTTGTGTTATGATCCCTCTGTTTTTAGGTAAGATAGAAGGTAGAATAACAAATACATAAATATAATTAATATATGCATAACTAAATAATATTTCCTTCGTCTCATTCTATGTGGTACATTTTGACTTGACACAATGTTTAAGAAAAAATGGAAGACTTTTGAATTTTATGATCTAAAACAATTCTTAGATATTTGTGTAACGGTAAATTATTTCATTAAGAATTTAAGAGTAAAAGGATAATTTTAAAGCTAAATTATTTTTAATTATAGTGTACATTCTTTTTTAGATAGACGAAAAGAGTGTCACATAAAATGAGACGGAGAGAATACGTATAGATTACCTCATACTAAATGAATCCTTAATATATAACTAGACATTTTATTCATTTAAATTTTTGTCTTATTTTTAACTTGACACAAAATTTAAGAAAATAAATAAGATTTTTGAATCACGCGGTCATAAGTTAAAAATATGTCAAATATATCAAAAATGTCTTTTAGAAGCTAAGCCATTACTAGAGAAAGCAATGTCATCCACACAGAAGAAGGACAATACCTGATTGTTGTCTTAAATATGTCATGAGATGAAATGTTGGAATTAAAGAGTTGCTAAAAAAATATTCTTTTCTAAAGACCAAAAAAAAAATACGATAAATAAATTAAAATGGTAAAAATATATATGAGAGGTTGAAATTATTTTTGGCAAGCGGCCAAATGTGTAATTTCTATGTTATAATAAAGTATTCAAAATTCCAGACTCTCAATTTCAACACAAATTCATATATATGGAAATGTCGTAGGAGAAGTAGTAGGTAGATTCAAAAGGATAAAATTGAGCAAATTTTTGTAGAGAGAGAGGGAACCCCATGTTTAAAATAAGTTTAATCTTTTTTGGAAAATTTGTGCTTTTAGTCTATCAAATATAGATAAATTTTGATTCAGCATTGTGATATTTTACTAAACATATAATTTCTCTTATCTCATTTTAAGAATCGTTTTAGTTCACTTTACGCTCATTAAGAAAATATATAAATACAATATATAGTTTATCAAACACATACTTTATTTATCTTTTTAAGAAGGATTGCACAAGTACACATTTTAATTGATTAACAATTAGATGTGCTTAATAATATATACACTACATCAAAAATGATCTTTAGCAACAATTAATTTATATATATATATTACTATTTTTTAATTAAAGACAATTAACACTTTTATAAATGTCTCTAAAATTTATAACGACATTGAATCAAATGATAACTACTATGCTAAGATTTTAATAATCTTTGTTAATATATATATTTATTATTGCTAAGAACTCTCATTTTAATTAGTGAATTTTGTAACTTATTCAAACAAAATACTCTCTTAAAATTCAAATATTCGAGTAGGCTGTCAAAGTTGACTATTCATATTTAGAAATTTTGATTATTAATTTGTTGATGGAAACAAATATTCTTAATCAGTTGATATGACTTATAACCTCTCTCTTCTTGGAGGGTTATGTTAATATTCTCTACTATCAAGTTGGTATAATTGTGTAAAATAAAGAAAAGAAAATTTGACATGTAAACCATTTCAATTTTCAACTTTTTATTATATTAAATTAAATTAAATATGACAGAAACTGATGAACTATCAACAAATGAAGTTTATAAATTTGAAATTTGAGTTATTTTTAAATTATTGAGTTCTACACTAATTAATTTATATATATTCAATGAATTTTTTACTATAAACTTAAAGTTTGAATCAAAATTAATGTGTATCAACACATTGACTCCACCCTCGATTGCTAAGGGAAAAAACTATTTATAAGGACCTAATAATTTGTTACGTCTATAAACTGCATAGATCCCCCGATAAATTAAATATCCTCCACTTGTCAATTTATGTGATTTTTTAGTCGGCTTCAAAAAGAAAGATATTTTTTTATTTATATATTTAATACTTATAATTTAACTTTAAATTTTTAATTTTTATTCTTAATAAAATAACTTATAGCAATAAAAAAATTTATGACTTATTTTATACCACAAGTTTAAAAAAAAAAAAAAAATTCTAGAAAGTATGATACAAATGGATGAACTGTCAACATATTATTTATAGAAAATTTGTTTTAATGGTCAACACTTGTCAATAAATTAAAAGAGATACTATAATTAGTGAAAATGATATTATAGGGAGATAATTTGTTTTATTAATAAACTATATATATAGCCCAAACCTAACCTAAAATAAGAAGTACAATAGTAATTTTCTTCCACTTGGAACCATTTTCTCTTATAGATAAAAATTAAAGATTTGATTGCTTCTAATTCATCTTAGCTGTATGTCACTTGTCTCATACAAAAAAGAAAAAATCGAGAACATGAAGAAACGTGCAATCTTGACCAATAAGCATCATGCATGATAGTTTCTCTTAAACCTACTCCCACTGTTCTTCATGTATTGGCGTGAAGTTTAAGAAATATAGAAAAATGATGTAATATTTTAAAATTATTCTCAAAAGAATATATTTTTATGGATTTTTTGTTAATTAAGTGGGAGTTAACATGAATAAAATATTCATAGCGTCACTAAATATTTATTAAATAAAAAAGTATGTCGTTCTTTTTTAAATTGACTAGAAAAAAAATGTCATATAAATTAAGATAGGAGAAAGTAATATTTAGTTATTAGTGTTGGTCAAGTGAACCATTTCTAAGAATTTTAATATGAAAAAAAATACTATTGATGATAATTTTGTCTTGTTGCACTATGGGAAGGTTTGAGTCAACACAACTTGAGATCAAAAGTTTAAAGCTACCGGGAATTAGAAAATTGATATTTGATATTGTGTGTGGATTTCTATAAAGTACTTTAAAGTAAGCTACCTTAAAGATCAAAATACCAAGCAAAGGGTAAAAGAAACAAAAACAATAATAATTAAAATTATCACACATATATATATATTATATAACTTGAACCTATTCATCGGTCTGTACATCCAGGGGCGGAGCTAAGATGGACCTAAGGATTAGACAAAAAATTACACTATTAATATGTTGTTAAATGTTAAAATTATTATTTTTTATAATAGAAATTACTCCCTCTTCAACTTCTCTGTGTGTTTATTTTTTCATATCTTGAACTCACTGTGTACACGATCCACGTGAGACAATAATCTCTACATAGGTAACCTAATTACTACTACTATTTGTATATATAGTAACACGAAGAAGTTAAAAATAACAAACTGAATATGTTATCGACATAAATACTACTGACTGATGTCAATTATTGACAGAAACTGCTTCTACTTTAACTGGAGAAAAATCACCATTTGCACTGCAGAAGAAACATGATGTTACGATATAATAGCTACTGAACTAGAAATAGCAGACGGATGCAACGGAGAGAAAGGGCGCAAATGTTGTTGCACCAACGGATACCCTTCTAGTAGTGCAACAATAAAGACATAGGGCACTACAAATAAGGATGCCACATTTCAATACGATGGTATAAACAATTAGGGGGAGGTAATTGAGCAACTGTTAATGAACACAAACATCTACTTATTACAGTTTTCATCCTTATAAGTTCTAGTTCTAGCAAATGAACCCTATTCTCTTACGAACCATCAATGTTTACTTTAGGTAAACATGTCATTTTACCTCGGGGAAACGGCTAAGTCCAATAGTTGCCAAAAGTCTCGATAAACCATCTGTACATTCTACCTCTCCCTTCCAGCCTTTATCCCAGTTATAACCAAAAAAGCATAAAAATTAAGGTAAGATAAAAGAAGGAAAATGTTGAGAAGAAACTGCCCCACTTTTTCTTTCAGCAATGAACAAGGAAAAGTTGAAAAAAGAAAGTGAAGATGAAAAGAAAAAGAAACAGGGAGAGGAAGGTGCGGGAAATAAGAGAAGAGAACATAAAAGATAGAGAAAGAATAGGAACTGTAGGCATTAAAACGATGCCTAAAATTATATGCATACCCCTTGCTTCCAGGCTCCAGCCTTCTATTTCTGGATTAGAATATCATGTTTCTGGAAAAGAGCAGCTAGATGACCACCCTGAGAATTACGGATGTACAACTATATTTGCTATCTTAGAAACTCAGCTAGTACCTCACAGGTTCAAGATTTGTTTGTCCATTACATCCACCATGAGCATCAACTCCAGTAACAGGCATGGATCATTGAGCAAAATTGAACAACAGCTTCCTTTGTTGCTTATTTGTGTGTGGCAGACTCGCACGTAGAAGCTCCATAGGCATTTCTCTACTTACGGCTCTTACAGCCTCTGGACCAATCACCTCAGTGTTTGATGTAGTCTGTGCAAGTATAGATTGAATTATACTTTCGTACTTACTCAGACAATACTTGGTAAGTAGACCAAAGACGGCATCAAAAGATGACTGCCAAAGGGCAGGATTAGGCATGCTGAAGCTGCCACCAGCCTGAGGATCTGTTAACAGATGAGATGGCCTTTCAAGAACAGACTTTAAAATAACATAGGCTCCATCTCCAGCAGGGCTTCCAAGCGGGCAAAGAGGAGGTTGTTCTGACGAACAAACAATAGCAGCTAGACAAGCACTAAGAGAATTGAGGTCCATGCCACTGATGCATCCCGCGACTGTTTTTGCAAGATTAGTAATGGTCTCCGCTGCTTCCGTCTCAGTTGGAAGGCCACCAAATAAGACTCTTAAGTGTCAGAAAATTGCCATGCAAACTATTCTGGCAAGCTCACTTCCAGGAATAAGATGCCGAAGATACCTTGAGATGAGCTTTTGGCCTTTGGGAAGTGATACCAACTATAAAAATACAATGTCATCTTTAGGGGTAAGCCCTACAGAACTGCCACTTTTGCCAAGAGGGTCAACAAGTTGAAGCGAGGCTGTCATACTTTCTAAGAGGATCTGCCGTTTCTGCCTGAGCTGAGCACCACCATCCTGGGGCTGACTAAACTAAATGAGCCAGTCAATGTCATCAACCTCAAGGAGAAGATAGAAACCATCTTCTATAGTAATTCTAGCGGCAAGTATCGGTTCATGTTCCAAAGGTTTCTCAGATACCTTATGCTCACCACTTCCATCACTGGAAACAAGACCCGGTGGATCAAATTCAAGAAGAACACGAGGCCTACGAATAGAAGAAAATGAAATCAGCCCCTGAGTATCAACATGGAGATGATGCACTTATGTGCTATTGCGCGACCGTGATGATTGCTCCTTATTTGGACAGAATCGATGTGTTGATCTTGTTTCAGCTGCTTTCTTTGTTAACCGAGCCTGGTGATAATAATCATCCACATCCACATAAGGATCATTTCCATGTGTTGCAGAATGCTGCATTTTCATAATGCTCTGTATTTTATCACCAGTCATGTACTTAGATCTGAACTGTGTTTTCTGGTTCCCACCATCAGTAGCTTGTTTAGAAGAATGTGCACTCTATTTACCTTTATGTGATGACTTAGAGCTTGGATTTCTGTAATCCGCCGATCCATACTTGCTAAGATGCGATGGGGAAGGGAATGAGTTAAATAATTGAGATTGACGGGCTGAAAAATAACCTAAAAGTCGGCTGAACTGCAAGATGCAATCTCTGCTGCTGCAGCTGCAGCTGAGGGGACATAATCTAAAGGGATAATAACCCGTTTTGATGCGGAAAATGATGTGGTAAGATACTGTTCATGAGACTAGAATGGTCTCCATGTTAGAGTCCAACATGGCTGGTTCAGCGATTTTGCAGCCGGTTATTAAGTGAAAGGCCACTATTGTTCAACTGTGACATGTTTCCACCGTAATGGATCCCATGAGGCAAGTCTGGAAAATGCATATTAGAGTTTGACAAAGTAGAGCGATTAACAGTGAAATAAGGAGACTTAGGTCCAGCAGCAAGATATAAGTTTTGCGGATGCAAATGGCTTCAAGGTGAGGACTGTTGAGACTGGCCACCCGGAGGAGGAAAAGAATTGAACTATGACTTTGGTACTAGAATGGGTTCACTTAAGAAGTGATGAAATTGTTGTGGTCACTGAGGGTTTGAGGATGTCCTATACAATGGTTTCGACTCCGCAAGATGCACAACAGAGATATGTGACTGTGAAGACCATCTTTTGCTTCCTGGTAACTTTCACTGTCAGAAAAATCCTGATCAAACCAATTAAGAAAATCTGCCTCCTTTGTCCATTCAGCTGTCGATGAACCTGCAAATAACTTCCGTAAATCAAAAAGACATCCACAACAAGTCATCACAAGAATGAAAATTGCTGAGGCTTCTAAGTGCAAATATCAACTAAAGCGTCGGCTTTGGCAGAAAAAGAACTATTAAAGAAAAATACAAAATATAATTGTAATGTAGAAAAACGTAACTATAAACATGAGCAATAATTATTTGGACAAATAGAGGTTAAAGCTATAATGAAGCTATGTATATGAAGTAAAAATCATGTCTATCAAGTTCAAAACCAATTAGGTTTCTGTAGTTTAAAGCTTTTAGTGGCGAGTTTTCTAATACTATGTTTCTATTTCTTAATCCTAACCACTGATAATTTCAGGCATAATGTCATCTTAACAGTTAATGCATCATCTTATCAAACTATATTTATCGTCTAGTATTTTGCTCTTATTGACCGGAGCCCATCAGTACAAAGGCACACACCGATAACCTTGGCATCAAAACCAAAGCGCCAACTAAGCGAGCAGAAACACACCAGCTTGAGCTTCAACAAGCTTCAGGATTAAGCAAGCAGTAAACAACCCTTTATTAACACTATCATGAACAACACATTTAATCTAGTGAATATTCTCAAGGCAAAGTTATGGCAAAAAAAATCTTCTCAGAAACATATTTCTTCAAGCTACCCTGTAATAGCAAGCAAATTGAAAGTTGTAAGAATGTGCCATGTGTCATTCTTTTTTTTAGAATGGTAAACTTGTGCCATGTAACATTCTCTTAGTACACAATACGTGGATAAATAGGAAGAAACAGTGGCCTCAAGAACATGGAGGGAGCTGAAGTCAAACTAAAGTAGACAACTCCCACAGTAAACGGACATAAATGTGCAGAAGATCTCACCTGAGACTCTGCTAGATCACATAATGTACAGGAATCCAACATAAAATAATGAACAAACAAAAGGAAAAAGACACTTGATGAATTTTTTCCCTCAGAATTGGGTTTAGACAGGATTGCCATTGTAGAATGACGATAATCTCCCTTTGCTTATGTATATAGTAAAATCTACACTACACCACACTACATACCCACCACCCCGAATTTTTTTTAGAGAAACATTCACTCTGCCCAGGAGACAACAGTAACCAGTAACGGGTTCCCACTTTGTTCCCTTGGAGATTCGAACTCCCAAACTCTTGGTTGGAAGTGGAGTTCGCTTGCTACAACAACTATCTCATTTGTCAAAGAACAAAGATAACTATCCACTCAAAAGCCTAAATGCTATGTCGCATGGATCTTTCTGCAAGTAACCTGGCCAATTTTGAACTCTTCTAGAAATGCTACTTTAGTGACAATAAAGCTATCGAACTGCAACAATGTAGAGGAAAGGACACAGTTTGAATGTGGCATCGAAGAAAGGTAGATCAATTTTGAAAGAACTGTGACAAGAGAACACCTTTGTCAAAGCAATATAGACACAACTTCTGCTTTTTCAATTGGAGTATCCAAGTCCAACTTGGCAGACAAGAGGAAAGATTGTGATGGTCATGCTTGTCTTTGTCAGAGACCTAGTCAAGCTGGCTGCATGCATGTCCCCAAATTCAGTAGTACCACGCCCAATAAGTTGTTGCATGACAGTGGCAAGTGAACTTCCCAGAATACTAGTTTAATAATAATATTCATATTGTTCCTTCAATTAAAACATTCTCTGACATACTCTATTTGACTTTCTAATTTAATCAATTGCTTTACCACTTTGAATTTGAGGCATTATTGAAAGTACGGAGAATTATTTTAGTTATATGTTGGATGGGCTAAATTTACTTTCTCTGTCTAGGATAATTGTATAAAATTTTCTTAAAGATTGTAATCATAATTAATTATCGGAAAGCTATAACTAGGAATCTCAAAAGGTAATTTCTTTACATCATGTAACACAATCTCCTAAACAGAAACCTCACATATTTTGCTCACAACTCATTTCCATAAGAATTCTCTGTTCTTTTCTCTTTTTACCAAATACACCCATAATAGCCCAAAATAGATTTGGCAAAGACATTTAATATTTTGAGAAGATAATTTATCTCTAAAGGTCCATTTTGAAACTTAAGATGTCATACTGAATCTCACCCTATTGAAATATGTTTGAATCTAATCCACCTATCAAAAACTGTTTAAAACTAATCCAGAATTTGTTTCATCCGAACACATTTTGTTGTTTAACTTTGTACTATCTTTTTTTTTTAGTTTGAATATTTGTTAATACTTTTAATTCATAGGTACATAGTGATTTTAATTATTTAAGCAACCCAACTTTAAAATATAAATCAGCTAACTGAAAACTTTAAAAAAAGAATTATTAGAAGAAGTCAATTATAAGAAATAATTAATTCTGCATATTAAGAATCTAGAAAATTAGACAAGGTTTTTCTTTTTCAGAAAATGGCTTAAACTCATCACTAAAATTTGGGTTTCAGCCATGTTGAGGTACCCGTGGCAGAAGCTGGCTAAAACGATGCCTATCATCCAAAGGGCTGGAGTATATAAATGCACTATTTCTTACCGAAGTATAAAAGAACCTATAATGGTAATAGGCAAGTTTGTGCTTTCTAGAAATTTCATCAGCAGTAAATAAGGAATAAACAGTGGGCAACAACTTCAATTCAGTTTCCAAGGTACCAAGAATATATCATTTATCTTACTAACCAAACATGGAAGAGGAGACAACAAAGACATTGTGTCTCTTGACTATTACCCACAAATTGTTCCGTACTCAAGGTCTGAAATCAAGCATGGAAGATGAGGCAAAGACTTAGTCGGTTACCCAAAAAGTGTTGCCTACAAACAATCCAAAATTGAGTCCCTATAATGATAAACAAGTGAAACAATCATCTGAAATTTCAATACCTATAGAAGTTGTCTCAGACCTAGAACTAGCAGAAGGTGTGCCAGAAAGAAAAAACAATGGAATTTCTTTGTAGCAAAAAGCGACCTCAGATGATAGTAGAAGGTACAATCAAAATGGAAGACTACACAACAAGAAGTTCAAGAGAATCAAATATGCAATAACAACATCAGATAACGGCATAAAGATGAATCAATGCCTGCACTTACTTTCCCTGAAAAAAGATTCTGATCCACAGTCACCAATTACTCCAAGTCCAGGATGCCATGGTCCAGTGACATTTCTGTTCAACTAGAAAAAATAAATAAAAAGTACTCATGTAAGTCTCAACAAGGAATATCTCACTGCCCACCATTCTTTTAGATTGAGTGCAACTAAGTTGTTATGGTATTATTTTAGTTGGTGATGATCAAGGCCATGGTATTGCATTAACTGCATATGTAATGCAAGACAGTAAGACAATGTAACATCAAGATCTGTTTTATCTTACGAGATGTACAGAATAAAAGAATTATATTGGAGATAGTGTTTCGCTTAATGAAGTACATACCAACCTAGAAGGTACCAATATCATTAAAACACATTTAGAGAATACAACTCCACAGACATACTATAGAAATCACAGCATGTTGTGAAAGCATTCAAGAATATATACAATGATCTTAAACTACCAAACTAATAATTAAAAAAGAGAACTTATCTCTAATAAAAGGAAGAGGGGAAGAACTAGAACTAAGCACGTTTTGAAATTTCTTGCCACAGAAGCAGGCAGGGACACCTAAATTATTATTAAAGAAAATATCTGAAAGTATCTACTAGAAGATGCAGATACAAGGTCTAGGAACCCCTATAGTGAAAATAGACAGACCCACAAGGCTAAGAAGATAGAAAATTACAGACTCTGTAAAAATTCAACCGTAAACATAAGAAATATGAAGATAATAGAATCGTAACCATCACTTAAACCATTGCAACATGGTTAACCTTCGAAAATGTTATGGTCAGATCATCTATGTCGGATAAAGACCCCAAAGCTGATCCCTGGATATAAAGCATTGATTAATTAAAGATAGTAAATTATATTATGAAACTCTACAACTTATCAGTAACTTGTCAAGATACTAAGCATAGTATCATATTTATAAAGAGCAGGAACAAGTTCATTAGACAGAAATACCAACGGATTTACAGATTATACATAATACACATGCAAGTAAATGAGAAGCTACAAGCACTGATGACCAATGACTAAACAAATAGTTGTTCATTGAGGGGGAAAAACAGCTCTACTATATAATAGTTATGACATTTGCAAACTCTCCAGTGTTGCAAATTAAACAGCTCAAATTGGCAGACCATGTCGACGAAAGGGAATTTATTTTTTTTAATTCTCAGTTTGTAGAATTTGAAGAGGAGGTAAAGGTGGACGTTGTGTGACTAGGAGGTGACGGGTTCAAGTCATAGAAAGAACCTCATGCAAGGTAAGGCTGCAAGTATAAAACCCAATGTGGTCCAACCCTTAACCACACCCACACATTCCAGGGCTTAGTGAAACAGGCTACCTCTTTTCTTTCAATTTGTAGAATCTGTTGTACTGTGTTGTACTCAACATATTTAACCTTAATTCTCTGTGAAATGAGAAAATGTAGTCCATTGTTGACAGAGTCTCAAACCTAACTAAACATAATGTAAGAACCCAAATTGTCTTCTGCCAAACTTTTGTCATCTCCTCGTTTTCCACTTACCTAAACCAGTAGACAGGATTCACTGTGAAAAAGGACAAGTACCATAAAAGGCCATACCCAACCCTCCATTAGCAAATTGGAGGTAGGGTAAGTTCTATGAATAAGGTGGACTCACAGTTTGTTGAGTGTAGACTAAAGGGAGATTTATTTTAAATTTTGTTCTTATAAGAAGTGCATGTGGGAGAGGTTAAGGATTCTTAGGCTAGAGGGAAATGAAGGAACAAAGCAGAGGATGTGCAGGGTTGAAGAAATTTCATATTATTGTATCGACTCCCTAGTGAAAGATTAATCAAGCTCGTTTCTTAATCAATTGGAAGGAAAATGTGCCAAACACAACAACTGATTAAAAATAAGGATCATATCATTGCTTATGAATAATAAGTCCTATAGGTTAGTCAAACAGATGATACAATGGATTTCCACATGTGAAATCCTTCTAATATTAAGATCAATCATGAGAGATAAAGAGTGAATCTTTCAGCATATAAGTCAACTCTCTTTCACATTAAACCCTCACCATAATTAAGAAACACATATGTAAAATCCAACCCCCCAAAATAGCAAACAGTACAGTACCTCATCTTTTTCAAACAAATGGTACTCCGATACTTCATCATCACCACTACGATCTCCCAACGCATGAATGCAATTATCATTGTCCTCTAATAAACCCCCCAACTCAACTTTTTCAACATCTCCACCAAAAAATGCGTATTGTGATGCATCAAACAGCTCACCTTCTGTATCAATAGAAGAATAACGATAGCAAAAATAACAAAACCCCCCATTAAATAATTGAAGAGTAATTTGGGCATAACACAAAACCCAGATAGAATCAAATATAAAAATAAAAACTCAAGAATCAATGTAGAAAAGCAAAACTAAGACATAATGAATGAGAAAAATTTGTAGAAACCTGATATAAAGCTAGATGAGTTAACCAAGTTGATGAAATCTTTGGCATGTAATCTCTCCATTAATTAGAAACAGAAAAAAGTATAGTAAAGCTGAGCAGACATACACGAAGATGAACAAAGAAAAGTGAGATTTTTCTAGGGTTGTGAAGGATTGGGGAAGAGAGATATAGCGGTGCGTTTGTGAGTGGAAGTAAAAGATTGGTTTTGGTCTTTTGGAGGAATCAAAAGAGGAAGAAAAGGGGGCCAAATTTTCCTTTTGTTTTCTTCACTGAAAGCGACAGTGGATTCTCATATCACATATATATTACTTGTAGTTGGATTTTGCAAGAAACAATAATGACAATTTTTTTAATTATAATACTCATATTAATTAATATTTAATATTAATTCTTAAAGTTAAAATATAGAGGAAAGTAAAAGTCAAAATCTGCTTTTAAAGAAATGTTAGACTTATTTTATTTGTACACTTAAGTTATATGGTGTTCATCGATCTTGAGAAGGCCTATGATAAAATCTCAAAAAGTCTTGTGGCATTGCCTAGAGGCAAGAGACGTATTGGTAGTATTTATTAGAATGATAAAGGAAATGTTCAAAGGAGTTAAAATTCGGATAAGAACGGTGGGAGGAAATTCAAAGCATTACTTGATAGAGATTGGATTACATAGTCATAGTTTGATTCTCTTTCCCTTGACGATAGATGAATTGACGCGAGACATTCAAGATAAGGTACCTTAATGATTGTTATTTGCGGATGACATACAATTGATTGATGAGACGTGCAATGGAGTTAATACTAAGCTAGAGGTGTGGAGACAAAGTTTGAAGATTAAAGGGTTCGGGTTGAGCAAGACCAAGACAGAGTATGTGGAGTTTAAATTCAATGAGGCGATGCATGAGAAAGGCATGAAAGTGTTCAAAATCAAATTGAAACCAATAACTTGAACCGAAAATTTTTTATTGGTTCATCGGTAATGGATTGTTGGTTCACCAGTAAAAAAGTTATTGGTTCAACGGCAATGGCATGGATGAGCCTTATCTTCACTGGATGGCATAAATTAGCCTAATATGAAAGTTCGATGGCATATTTGAGTTTTTTCCCTTCTTTTTTTGTTCATTCTAGTTTTCTAGAAAATGTTTAAACGCTCATATTCTTGTTCTCGTAAAAGTAAACAGGCATATAATTAATGCATAATAAAATTTATTTAACATAGTTGCTAACCACATTCATTGCTTTCAAAAACGTTTTAGGAGCGAGTCTCGGGGTGAGGCATACCAAAATATTGTAGTACGCAAATTAAATGTGTAGATTCATAGGGCATAAGTCATATAATTTAGGGTATAAGCTTCGAGCGTAAAAAGGTAAGTCACGGGTATAAACGTACGCAACACACACACAAAACTTTGTATCGTATTTTTTATTTTATGCCATAATATTATTTCAAGTTGGTGATTTTTTCTAGAATGTATAACCCAATTTCATTGAAAATTACATTGCTATAAATAATTTCTTAGATAATTGTGTTTGAAATTCATAGTATAAAACTTTCATAATACTATGTTTATGTGATAACTTTATTCATTTTTTGTCATTACTCTTGTACTTTGTATTACCTACTTGATCTTCTTTAGAATATATAAATCAAAATCAGTGCAAATATTAATTGAGGGTGGGAAGGACTAGTAAATGTGAAGATGGATGATAATTTTATTTTAAAGATTATTTTGGCTACCATCATTTTTTGTGTTATTAGTTGTTACATTTCTCAAATACAGTAATAATTATAATACATTTTCTATTATTGGTTATTAATATATCACATAATAATTATATATTTTTTTATATTATTGGTTATTTATTAAAATTTATTTGTATAATCATTGAAATTAAGCTCTATAGATCCATGAGACTTACATTTTGTATCTCGAGACTTACACCTCATCCTGTGTTACATAAAACGTCTTGCCTCACACCCGCCTTTTAAAACACTGACCACATTCTTTAAACCATTTGGTAACCAAAATCTTGACTAGTTTAAATTGATTTGGTCTTCCTATTCTTGGATGGTAGAATAGTCTTTTTCAACTTATAAATTATTATAAATTAGATGTGGCTCATGCTAGAAGATATATATAACAAACAAAAGACAAATTATATCATAATGGTGATATTGACTCTTTACAATTTCACTAATTCAAATACGTTTTGATTGAATGAGTAAATTTCATCCATCAACCAACAATAATATAAACTAGGTAAGCCCCTTTGAAAACAAGTGAATACATTGAATTTAATAATAAATATGTCATATATCAAAGAGCACTATTCGAATTCTCAACCAACAATAGTATAAACATTTTTTGCAGGTACATTTTTAAACAAGTTGAAAAGAAGATTTGAATATAAAATGATGTCGGCTAACTTTTTGAAAATTACTTTTCAATTGTTTTTTAAAAATAAAAATTGACAGTGTCAATCAATTTTTTTTATTTTCCAAACTTTAACGCAAGAAATCCATTTAACAATTGACAAATTATTCATACGATAAAATTTAATTTTGTTCCAAGAAAATAAACAAAGGCTAATTCAGTGATTTTTGAGACGCTTCAAGCCATTAAAATTTAGGAAATTTGAGTATACACACTCCTCTTTATTATTTTGTTTTGATTTCTCTTTTGGTGTATGATATTTGTTTTGGGATCGATTCGATTATGGGATGAAAACACTTTCTATACAAAATGATTTTTTTTTTTGGTTTTCTCTTCGATGTTCGATATTCATATTGGAGCTTCGATCGACTAAATTCGGATTGCTCTGCAGGATCCACATTTTTTTCCATACCCAGAGCTCAAACTCGAAACCTATGATTAAAGGTGGAGCAGTCCCTTCCACGATTTTTTCCATACCCAGAGCTCAAAATCAAAATCTATAATTAAAGGTGGAGCAGTCTTACTACTGCACCGCAATAGATAAAATGATTCTATTTTTAAGAGACTAAAATTTGAGATCTTTGATTTAAGAATAAATACCACAATTTTTAACTATCCTCTTTTATTTAATAATCTCCCCTACTTTTACATGTAATAATAACAATCTATAATAAGAATATGCTTTACAAAAAATTCTAATTTGATCCAACATGAGTGGAATAAAATTTATGCTTCAATAATGCTGAAATAGAGTTGATGTTTAACACGTAGGCAAACAAAAAGTACGAATATGACATTCCCAATTCTAGTACTAACTTTTTCTGATTATAGAATAATCTATGAGTCAGCTTTCAAGATTGGGTTGGTGTTCCAATAGGCGAAAGATGTTATGCTAAAAATTGATAATTTTTAGAAGCGTCTTTTTAATATAGCTTTTTAGAAAGAAAAAAATAATTAAAAAAGAAACAATTTCTGGTTGGTAAATTCATTTCAATTTTTGATAAACAATTTGTGTTTGACTTATTTTCTTAAAAAATGTTTTTGAGAGTCAAATTACTAAAAAGTGCAAGTATCAATGTGCTTTTAATATTAAAATTATTTTATAGAGAAAACTATTTTAAACATCTAATACAGAAACTTTAATTGCATTTTTAATTTAATTAATTAAAATATATATATATTCAAATTTTCAATCAATATTATACATAGATAAATATTATTGAAAAATATTGAAAAGAGAATTTTTTTTGTTATTTGTTACTGATTTTCTTGGATTCAATCTTATCAATTATCTTTTTTTTTGTTATAATACTTTAAAGTTTTAAAATATTCAAATTAAAATAAAATAATATGTGGGTTAAGTAAAAAAAAGTTGTTATTCGTTACTTTTTTTTGGAGGGACTAAATCTTTAATTGTTACATATTTTTTAGTCCTCCAAAAATATTGTTGTTACTTTTATTTCTAATTCTGTAAAATAATACGAAAATTAATATATACAATATAAAGTATAAATAATAATATAAAAACATATATAAAAGAAAAAATTATTATAAATAAATATAAAAATAAAATTCTTGAATGAAAATTAACCAAACTTATGAAATATATTAATTAATTAATAAGAGATATATTGATAAATATGTATATATGTAAGGAATATTTTAGTCTTAAAAAAGGCCACACACATATGCAGACCCTTAAACTTGTCTCTAAATTTCATTTTGGCATTCCAACTCAACCTTGTTCCATTTTAACCCTTTAACTCCATTTTTTATGTTTCATTTTGGCACTTCTAAGTGATGTGGCAGAGTGTGTGCATCACACTTTTCTCTAAAGGGAGTGAAAGATAAAAAAAAAGTATTTTTTAAAAAAAATAATAAAAGATTAACCCTTGAACTCCATTTTTTTATTACCATTTAAACACAAAATATTATTTTTATGATTTCTTTATTTCTATATATGCTCTTCAACTGCAATTTTGCATTTTAAAAATCGGCGTTCATCCGTTAGTTATTGTAAAAAATTTAAATTGACGGATGATCATTGATTTTTTTTTTTTAAAAGTAACAATGTTTCATTTTAAAAATCAACGTCATATCTAATCTATTTGGACTTAACTCAAATACCAGCTTTCTAATTTTTCATTCAACTAAATACGAGTAAAAAAAAAACTCATGTTCATTGCTAATTAATAACACTATAAAAAGTGTTGAAACTCGATAGACTTCGTTGGGTTGTCATTGATTTTTTTAAGAAAGAAAATCGACGCACTTTCGTCGCTTATTTTTCACGCAAAAATACAGGGAAACTTTCAAAAAGAAATTGTTACTTTTTTTATAAAAAAAATCAATGATCATCCGTCAATTTGAATTTTTTACAATAACTAACGGATGAACAACGATTTTTAAAATGCAAAATTATAGTGGAAGAGCATATATAAAAATAAAGAAATCATAAAAATAATATTTTGTGTTTAAATGGTACATAAACAAAATAGAGTTGAATGGTTAATCTTTTATTATTTTTTTAAAAATACTTTTTTTGTTTTTTTCACTCTCTTAGAGAAAGTGTGATGCACACACTCTGCCACGTCACTTAGAAGTGCCAAAATGAAACATAAAAATTAGAGTTAAAGGGTTAAAATGGAACAAGGTTGAGTTGGAGTGTCAAAATGAATTTTAGGAACAAGTTTAAGGGTCTACATATGTGTTTGGCCCTTAAAAAATATTGTTTTGCTTATGCTTTTGTTTTTTTAAAAAAAACATAAATTATCAGCTTCTTTCCAACAACAGAAAAATTGTTTCTACTTCCCTTTAAAAA